AGATCGCTATAAAATTAGATGTTAAGATTCACTGGTTCGACAGTTTTCGCTCAAATTTTTTATTTATAATAATTGTATCTACAACTTTTAAAAAATTTATTATTATATATTTATTGATTGATCTTACATTAGTTTTGATTAATTATAATATACGACACCCTAATAAGTTGTCCAGTGATCAATCAATATAAATGCCAAAATTACGTTTATGGCAAAACTCCGATGACTTTTTATAATGCGTATTGAAAATTTATGCATTAGCGTTATAATACAAATTTTCAGCCATGACTAGATAAGTAACACAACATTTCCCTAATTTCCTAGTTCAATAACGATAATGGATTTGTTACAATATAAAAAAAAAAACATTCAAAGTCATATTACCGAGCATCGGCACTATATATGCATATTACTTTGTAGCCAATAGAAACACAGTATTTTTTATTAATCCACTTTTCTCTCATGAGTTATTTCGTATTATGTTAATCAGAAAATTAATTTGAAGTACGTAGCCTTATTAACCTAATTAAGTGAGACGCCCTTAAGTCATAGGGTAACATATATAGTATTAAACTTGTTTTAATATAACCAATCTTGTAATTCTTTGTATGTAATGAAATTTGATGTGTGTGTCAACAGAATATAAAATATAAAACTCGTTTAACTAAAACGTCATTATGGTCAATATTATTTGTTCATTGTTATGAAAATGCAGGGTGGTAATGCATATCGATATGCTTACGTATATGAATTTGATCACCGGTTCATCTAGAATCCTCTTTACCCAGACTTAAAACGTATTTTGTTGGGTATATATCGATATTCTATTTTGTAAAGTTATAACAATTATGTAATCATATAATTTTTCCCATTATCATTATAGCGATGAAGATCCCTACATGTAATTTTTTTTGCCAAGCTAAGAAAAGAATTAATAGTAACTTAATAGTAACGTTTTGGTATAACACGCATATAAACACAGCCTCTAAGTTATTTATCTAACCGCGCGGCTAATTATCATAAGAGTTAATGAAAATTAATATATACGTTCATATGATTATTTACATTGTTTTTAAGGTAAAAAAAGGTATGAGATTTTTCTACGTACGTACGTACGTACGTATTAAGGATTTCATCATTAGACATGTTTATTTATACATAAAAAAAAAAGCTGAAACACTCCAACCAAATAAACAAATAATCAACAGATCTTTCCTTGCTTCTTTCATAATGACCATGTTTGTATTATACCGAACTCCGGTTAATGTAATTATAACAAACCAAAAATTCATTTTGTTTACAAAAATATATAAATGAAATCCAAGATTGAAGAAATGGCGTGGCATAACTGTATCAACATTGAAATCCGCGTCTATGAGGGAGAAAATTAACAAAACATTAACAAAAAATAACAAAGTGTATGGTTAAATGTAACAATGGACCGAATAATGATGACCGAAGCTGTGTTCATAATTTTATTTTTGTTTTTTTTAGGCTAAGTAAAAAAAAGAACCAATTAAAAAAGTAATTAATGTATTGCAAAATACTGAATTAATTACTGAATTAGTGATAATTAGTGATAATTAGTGATAGGTGTTAGTAGTACGAGAATAAGATACGTACGTACATTGTTATATATCGATACAAAAAAAGAAACTTTAAAAAACTTGCCTTGAAGGGAAGGTGTCGCACAAAGGATACGCAAAGGATACGCAAAGGATGCGCAAAGGATAAAAAAGAGCACGCAGCATCTGTATCAACATCTGTATCAACATCTGTATCAACATCTGTATCAACACCTGTAACATTATAGTTTAAATATAAACGGGAAATAAAATTGACGGGGTTTTATTTCAGACATCACACGTGTAATATTAGAAATATTAGGACGGGTATATATTATATGAAAAAGCTTAGGATAGATTGCATTTGTTAAGGAGTACTACACCTTTCTGCCTTTACGTAAAGGAATGTAACACTGATAGAATTTTATATATTTTTTATAATAATAAACACGTATGTACAATGATATTTAACATATGTAAGATAATATTTAACGAAAGGCCAGAACACAACAGATTATTAAAAAGGAAGGTATTCTATACTAAAATATAACGCGACAAATGATAAATTCGACAAATAGATCTGCGATTTACGCGTACGTAGGATTTTAATTATGATATAATTTTGCATAAAAATATCAATAATACGAATAATACGCGCGTTTAGCAATCAAGATTGGGACTTTACTAAATAACGTCAAAGGTTATGTTTCCTGAAATTCCTTTTTGGTATGTTTTAAGAAAAAATGGACGAACGACATAACATGAAACTTCATATCTCCTTTTTTGTTTAAAAATAGTAATTGATGAATAAATTCTATCCCTATAATTTATTGTGTATCAAGTATGATGTAAATTCGACTCATATTACTATAGTATAGTACGAACTGTTATGTAACCTACACTACGTTAAAAACCTTATATCGTGATAAACAATGACGGAATATAATAAACAATATGAGTATCAATATCAATATCAATATCAATATCAATATCAATATCAATATCAATATGAGCATATTAATATGATTATATCAATGTGAGTACGTATAGATTCTATTAATTCTATTAATAACCGAAGAACAATCCGTCTGACGCATGGTTTCTTATAGGTTAATTCTTATTTGCGGATGGGCTCTTTGTCTTTATCATTATTAATATATGTTTTTATTTGTTGATTTATTAAACACATGTGGCTATGCTATAGTGTTTATAACTTGGCATATAACCTAGCATACACTGTTTTGTTTTTTAGGCAACATCCGGGTAAGCATAATCGCATTGAATCACTAATTATCCTACAAGATAAGAAAGTGAATTAATGTTAATGGTTTGCTTTATAATAAAAATGTTATTCCTTGCATGCGTAATGTGCCATGTGCTGAACAATAATTTGCATCTTTAAAGAAATAAAAAAATAATAAAAAAAAATAATAAAAATATAATAAAAATGTAATAAAAAAATAATAAAAATATAATAAAAAAATAATAAAAATATAATAAAAAACTAATAAAAATATAATAAAAAAATATTAATAAATATGAATTAATACAAAAGCTGTGAAAAGCTGTGAAATAAACGCATATATATATTATCCCTAAGCACCTAAAGCACCTAAAGCATCTAAGGCTAAGGATTAAATAATAAATTAAGTAAAACAGTTATATTAAAGATATGATGTAACTAATATGACCCAAAATAATCGTAATAACCGAAATAACCGAGGAAAAATAGAACAAACACCAATCATTGTTGTACCCTTATGTTTTTGTGTTTACGTTTAAGTGACACATTTAATGACTTACCCAATTGTATAATATAATAAATCGGCCACGCGCTTTATAAATTGATAAACATTGTCAATTTGATTTTAACTTTTGTTAGTATGTTGGCTTATATTTTACCTTTATAGTTTACTCTACTTTACTCTTATCGTTATTTATTTATCAATATACTTACATTATCTTTATATTGTTAACAATTTTGTTAATAATCTTGTTAACAATCTTGTTTATTGAATTTGTAATTCATTATTATATTACCATCTTATAATCATTTTTAATTTACTCAATTTACTCAATTTACTCAATAACAACCGCATTAACAATCTAAGCACGCATATATTATTTATTTGGCGTTTACGCGAACTAATGAAAAAAATGTATCATTACAAGTTGAGCCTATGTTTTTGTGTTTTACTAAAATAGGTTATGGATATGGTTATTGATATGGTTATTGATATGGTTATTGATATGGTTATTGATATGGTTATTGATATGGTTATTGATATGGTGATATAGATCATTAATACGTACAACGGACTACTAACATTGACTACTACTAATATTGTAATATTGATTTCCGAAATACAGAAATAGACTGCTAATACATACGTACGTATTGTATATCGACTACTAACATTGGAGTACAGTAATACTTATAAACTACGTATCAATATTAGATTAACATAGTTCAATTTTAATATTAAACATATGTAAGGATTCGTTAATTAGCTTAAAGCTTGTGTGGGGTAAAAACCTAACCATAGGGATTTATTTTTATTTAACACGAGATTTGATAATTAAAACTGGGAATGTGGCGTATGTACCCGCTTAATAAATACTTATCGATATCAGGTTATTGATAAGAAAGAAAAAAAAATACGGTATATATTTTTTTTTGATATGGTTAATAAATGTTGTATAAATGTAGTACGTATAAATTTAGTATAAATGTAGTATATAAAAGTAGTATAAAGTAGTATAAAGGGTATAAAGGTAAGGGTACAATGACTTTGCGCGGTGTGTGTAACATCCTATCCTTTAATTTATTAGCGTTAGTTTTTCGAGGTAGGAGCCCCGATTTTGTAGATCGTTACACAATTGATTAAAGATCTTTTTTTATACGGTTTACAATACTTTTTTCGAAAGCTCGGGTAGATTATCTCCTTTATGAAACGCAGTAGATTATTAGAGAAACTCGAAGGTCTCACCTTGCTCTACAACATATTCGTTTAATCCATTTTAATCCAACAACTTTCATATTACACTTCACCGGTCAAAG